TGCCATTACCTTCAGAAAAAGATTCTCTACCATTTCAGATAAAAAATGGACACTGGGAACAATATTAATTTTGAGTTTCTAGACAGTGAAAGGGATAAAAACTAAATGTGTTAAGGTCACTGTGTGATCCTAGAATGGTACCCCTGTATCCCAATGCCCAGTACCCTCTACCTCAGTGCACACAAAATGAATTATACAGTGTAGTATAGGTGTCTTAATACAGTCAAACATCAGATTTAAAGTTTATCAGAAAAGGCATACACAAGTTATCACATGGAAACTATCAAGACATCTCCAAAAAAAATGGCAAATTAACACCTACACAGTCCAAAATCACTTTGACTCTTCCATTAAGATACACCAGCTCGGAAAAAGCATACCAGAAGAGGCATGTGCTAGTTCTCCCCCGTGGTCTGGTAGGCAACACTCTCGCCTCACTCAGTGAGTGTCCCTGGTTCGATGTCTGGCTGGGTGGAAACACTGGGAGTGTTTCCCTACACCTGCTGTCCTGTTCACCTAATAAGTACTTGGGTGTTAGCCAAGTGGTGTGGGTTGCATCCTGGGGACAAGATTAAAAAGACCACAAGGGAAATAAGACAGACAGCCCTCGATGATGCACTAACTTTCTTAGGTTATCCGGGAAAGCTAACCTCCGGGGTTAAAAATCCGAACAAAATCTTATCTTATCCCATAATACACCAACACTCATTTGTTACATTCTAAAGTTATTAGCACTGGGAGCTGTATAGCCCTTGTCCCCTCAAGGAAGGTTCCTTGATGTTGGTGAGGGGCTCTTGATTTAGGGAATTGGATCTGTGCTCCAGTTCCCCGAATTAAGCCTGAATGCCTTCCACATATCCCCCCCCCCCAGGCGCTGTATAATCCTCCGGGTTTAGCGCTTCCCCCTTGATTATAATAATAATAATAATGTATAGCCCTTGTGGCTTAGCGCTTCTTTTGATTATAATAATAATAATTAGCACTGGGACTTTCACTCTCATCTTACTGCTTTTTGTGGCGCTCTTTCTTCGTCCTTTATTGATGAGCTGTGCACCAGTTTTCGACCTTAGTTTTGACTGCAGCATCACGTTCTATTCTTCAAATCTCAGGCAGGCATTTTCAGACATGCATGCCTTGGTAGTCTCCTGTGTGTGCCCGTGCAGTGCATTTGAAACATGCTGTGTGGGGCCGTTATTGATATAATCAGACCGTAGACCATCTTTTGGATTTTAAGTGGGCAAGGGCAGTTGCTCGCCACGCCATACACAATGCTAAACACACTCGTTGGCAAGGCTATGTTTCTACTGTTACCTAAACTTGTCCTGTGTGTGTGCAGTTTAGAAGGTACGGAAGTTATGTTTCAAGTACGCTCCAGACCCAGCTCCCGTTTTGTGGGTTGCTGGTGTTAGTGTTTCAGAACCTCGTGAAGTTGCCATGGAAATCAGGAATTATCTTGTCCATGTCTCCCAAGAGCTTCACCTATCCCTCGTTTCTCGCTTCTAAGTCTGCGAGGGAGCAATCTCCCTTGGATTTCTCTTCTAGTGGGGAGGAGCTGTATAACATACCTCTTACTCAGAGTTAGAGCCCACTCTTTCCGCTTGCCGGTCAAAGGCAGCTGAGCCTGATAATATTCATATCCATATGCTACAGCATCTGACTTCTACAGCCCTTACAGTCCTTTTGCATCTTTACAATCTTGTTTGGATGCCAGGGGTTCTCCCTCAACAATGGAAATCAGCCATTGTACTACCGTTTCGCAAATCAGGCACTTCGGTGCTTGATACTTCTCACTATCATCCTATTGCTCTGACCAGTGTAGTCTGCAAGGTGATGGAACGATTGGTGAATAGACGTCTGATGTGGTATTTGGAGACTCACAATAGTCTTTTTCCTTGCCAATATGGCTTTCGCAAGGGTCGCTCTACTTCGGACCCCATGCTCCACTTAAATACGTATGTGCTCAATGCCTTTGCTAATAAACACTCCATCCTAGCAGTTTTTTTTTTTATCTTGAGAAGGCATATGACACCACTTGTCGGTATAACATCTTAGTCTAGGCCCACTCCTTAGGCCTCCATAGTAATCTACCAACCTTCCTTGGTACTTTTTTATCTGAAAGACATTTTCGTGTCCGTGTTGGCACCTCATTTTCCTCAGACTTTGTTCAGGCTGAGGGAGTCCCACAAGGTTGTGTCCTTAACATGACCTACCTTCCGTTCTTCCATCACATATTTGTTCGTCACTTTATGTGGATGTCTTTGCTATATCTTACACAGGCGTTGGCTGTCGCCTGGTAGCAGCCTCCCTTTAGGATGCAATTGGCCGTGTTTCCCATTGGGCCACTTCTCATGGATTTAAATTTTCACTAGATGCCCTCTTGTCCCAGATATTCTATTGTACTTAAACGGCTCATGTATCCCAGAATGTGATGCAGTCAAGTTTCTTGGCCTTCTATTCGATTGCCGGTTTGACATGGAAACCTCACATTACCTCTTTGAAGGCAGCCTGCTATGGTCGGCTGAATCTTAAAATTTTTGTGCAGCGTTCATGGGGAGCAGATCGTTGAACTCTCCTTCATTTGCATTCCACCCTAGTCTTGTCCAAGCTGGATTATGGTGACCAAGTCTATTCTGCGGCTTCTCCTACAACTCTTTCCCAGTTAAATCCCCTTCATCATCAGGGTCTACATTTATGCCTTGGTGCCTTTTGTTCATCCCCTTTTGAAAGCCTCTATGCTGAGGTGAATGTTCCTTCCTTAGCCGATCTTTGTGATGCTCACTGCCTTCGTTACTTTGTCAGCTCTCATGACCTTCGTGTTCCTTCTATATATAGGTTGGTCTCAGACGTTAGTAGAAGCCCGTTATTTGTTCGGTGCCCCTGCTTACTCCGACCATTTTCTCTTCATCTTCACTCACTCCGGTCTTCTCTCCAGTTTCTTCCCTTGTATGTTCATGTAGCGTCTGCCTTTTCCCTTCCCTCTTGGGAGGTTCTGACAGCTCATGTCTGTTCTCCCCTACTGCCATGCGCCAAAGCTCTCCTACCTACATCTGCTTCTCGCTCTCTTTTTTTTGATCACTTCCGGTCGCATGCTCATGCCATCACTATTTATATAGATGGTTCTAAACCTTCTGACGGTGTTGGTCTCGTATGCCATCCTCATAGCACTTCTCTGTATTACATATATGTTTCCTTCAGCGTGTGTGATCATTTCAGATTCCCTCAGCGCTTTACAGGCCATTAAACAATTTGATTCCCCTCATCCACTGGTCCTTCGTATTCAACTTTGGTTGTGCTGTGTGGCTAGCAAAAACAAAAATGTCAATTTTCGTTGGGTCCCTGGACACGTTGATGTGCGGGGCATTGAACAGGTGGATCTATAGAGATATTCCATTCAGGGATTATTCATACACCATAATAAATTGCACTCTATTAAGCTGCTTTTAGGTTTGTGGCCATCTTCTTACCACTGTTGCCGTACTCGGGAGACTGCTTTCTCCCGTCTCTGCATCGGCCATACTCGCTTTACCCATTGGTATATCATGGAACGACACCCTATTCCTCTTTGTGAGATTTTTCGGGTCCCTATTTCGGTTTTTCACTTTGTGGATTGTCTGGTTTAACAGCGAGCTCGCAGGATTTACCTCCACTGACGCTGCTGCCCTACCACTCTTACCTTCTTGCAGACGGCCCTGCCTTTGACTTAAATTCACTTTTTTGGCTTTTTGTCAACAACTGCTTTACAAACTTTGGCACATAGCCCTTAGCATCCCCTCCAGCCCTTTTTTTCCCTCACCTCTAATCCCCCTCTCCACCTAGCTATTTATAACCCCTGCACTATTTTCTGCCCTGCAATGCTGCATGAACCTTGTCAGTTTAGCTCTTTATTTGATTATAATATTCTTGCCTTCATTGTAATAAGGCTCACCCAGTTTATTCTCGCCATTGCCAGTTTTTGTTAAAGGAACGAGAGGTCCGCTGTCTCAAAGGGAAAAAAGGTTTCTCGTATGCCATGGCAGTCTCCCATCTCCTTCTCCAAGGAAAACTTCCACGGCTTTCTTATTTTAGTCACGAGACGGCCTCCAACCTCGGTTGGACCTTCTTCCATGATCTCTTCTGTAGTCACAACTTTCACACTCACCTCTGTGTTTAACTCTTTTGCAGCCATTATCTCCAAAGTCCCTACTCGTCGACTCCTACTATCCTTGTATCTTCTCGCTCGCATGTTTCAACATCTACACGACTTCCCACAACTACATCACCTCGCATCCCTACTTCTCCAAAGTCCAAAACATCACCAAACTTTAAATCTCCTTTAACCCCTCAATCACATATCATTCCCAAACATTTTTCTTTTCCTGTCTCTGAGCCTACTCCTTTACCTCATATTGTATCCGTTACTGATGCTGAGGTTCATTTTCCTCCTCGTACAGTTCGTCTCCTGTCCCGACTCCAGTTCCTTCCTTTCCTGGCCCCTCCCAAGTTTCTCTCCAAGTTACCTGTAACCTGTCATCCCCCCTCCCTTCTGTGGTAACTTTCATCGTCTCTCCGATCTTTACTCACCCTCCATCTTCTACCTCTGATATCGTACTGCCTGTAGTTTGTCATATGAAATACTTGAAGCCATCTCCAGATATAGTGAAGAGACAAAACCAATGATGGACACCAATCCACCAACCATTACTCCTTCACACCTTGCTCAACCTTCTACACAACTCCTTTCTTCATGGCATTCCAATCCTTTTCTCCTTACTAATTATCCGCTACCTCACATGTAGACTTTACTAACCCTACTAGTCCATGGACACCTACTGCTTCATGTTGCCAGTATTCTTCTGTTCGCAAATCATGACTTACAATGTAATATTCGAGGCCTCAGGGGTAACTGGGGTGAGCCTTAGGTGTCGCTCTCCCAGTAATAATAATAATAATAATAATACGCAGCAACAAACTAATGTGAACCATTCTTTAATTAATAACTTCAAGGACTGAGCAAGTCTTACCTCTGTAGCATTGGATAGGCTTGTACTTCCCATTAGGCTGACAGATCGGGATGGGAATACTGTTGTTACCTGCACTCGCCGCCTCCAGTATGGCTTGACGATCACGCTCACACGATGGCTTCGGCCCTGTGAACAGTCTCTAGTTAACAAGGAAAAGAGGAAATTAAGGTAGTCAACCTTCCTACTGAATGAATCGGTCACTTGAATAATTTAGATTATTCTAAAACCTTCCCCATAAAGCTCTAGATGTTATGACGAAGAGGTATGCAGACGACTGGTATAAAATACCAACACGATGGAAAAAAGATACAAATGCAGTATAATGCGTTCCGTTATTGACTACGTTTTGACCACACACTAGACTTTATCAAGTCCTCAGCGCTGTATGACCCTTGTGGATTTTTAGCGCTCAATGATTATAATAATTTAATAAGTCCTTAAATCACAACCTCCTCTCAGCATTCTCAACCTAATTCTTCACGCCATAATTCTCACTATATATACCATGTACTCTCCGCTCTGGTAGATCTGCTTGTTACTTGATAAAGTCCACTGGGTGGGCGAAACGTTGTCAATAAAGAATCACATTATAATGTATCTGTGTATATTTTTCCACGAGATATTTATGTTAGCACCTGACCTCACATATTGACTACACCCGACCTCACACACTGACTACACCTGACCTCACATATTGACTACACCCGACCTCACATATTGAGTACACCCGACCTCACATATTGAGTACACCCGACCTCACATATTGAGTACACCCGACCTCACATATTGACTACATCTGACCTCACATACTGACTACACCTGACCTCACATGTTGACTACACCTGACCTCACATATTGACTACACCTGACCTCACATATTGACTACACCCGACCTCACACACTGACTACACCTGACCTCACATATTGACTACACCCGACCTCACATATTGAGTACACCCGACCTCACATTTGAGTACACCCGACTCACATATTGAGTACACCGACCTCACATATTGACTACATCTGACCTCACATACTGACTACACCTGACCTCACATGTTGACTACACCTGACCTCACATATTGACTACACCTGACCTCACATATTGACTACACCTGACCTCACATATTGACTACACCTGACCTCACATATTGACTACACCTGACCTCACAATTGACTACACCTGACCTCACATATTGACTACACCTGACCTCACTATTGACTACACTGACCTCACATATTGACTAACCTGACCTCACATATCAATGATGGGGTTTTATTGCTACAACCTGGTTATTGCTACAACCTGGTTATTGCTACAACCTGGTTATTGCTACAACCTGGTTATTGCTACAACCTGGTTATGGCTACAACCTAGTTATTGCTACAACCTGGTTATTGCTACAACCTGGATATTGCTACAACCTGGTTATTGCTACAACTGGTTATTGCTACAACTGTTATTGCTACAACTGGTTATTGCTACAACCTGGTTATTGTTACAACTGGTTATTGCTAAACCTGGTTATTGCTACAACCTGGTTATTGCTACAACCTGGTTATTGCTACAACCTGGTTATTGCTACAACCTGGTTATTGCTACAACCTAGTTATTGCTACAACCTGGTTATTGCTACAACCTGGTTATTGCTACAACTGGTTATTGCTACAACCTGGTTATTGCTACAACCTGGTTATTGCTACAACCTGGTTATTGCTACAACCTGGTTATTGCTACAACCTGGTTATTGCTACAACCTAGTTATTGCTACAACCTGGTTATTGCTACAACTGGTTATTGCTAAAACCTGGTTATTGCTACAACTGGTTATTGCTACAACCTGGTTATTGCTACAACCTGGTTATTGCTACAACCTGGTTATTACTACACCTGGTTATTGCTACAACCTGGTTATTGCTACAACCTGGTTATTGCTACAACCTGGTTATTGCTACAACCTGGTTATTGCTACAACCTGGTTATTGCTACAACCTGGTTATTGCTACAACTGGTTATTGCTACAACCTGGTCATTGCTACAACCTGTTATTGCTACAAACCTGGTTATTGCTACAACCTGGTTATTGCTACAACCTGGTTATGCTACACCCTGGTTATTGCTACAACCTGGTTATTGCTACAACCTGGTTATGCTACAACCTGGTTATTGCTACAACCTGGTTATTGCTCAACCTAGTTATTGCTACAACCTGGTTATTGCTACAACTGGTTATTGCTCAACCTGGTTATTGCTACAACCTAGTTATTGCTACAACCTGGTTATTGCTACAACTGGTTATTGCTACAAACCTGGTTATTGCTACAACCTAGTTATTGCTACAACCTGGTTATTGCTACAACCTGGTTATTGCTACAACCTGGTTATTGCTACAACCTGGTTATTGCTACAACCTGGTTATTACTACAACCTGGTTATTGCTACAACCTGGTTATTGCTACAACCTGGTTATTGCTACAACCTGGTTATTGCTACAACTGGTTATTGCTACAACCTAGTTATTGCTACAACCTGGTTATTGCTACAACCTGGTTATTGCTACAACCTGGTTATTGCTACAACCTGGTTATTGCTACAACCTGGTTATTGCTACAACCTGGTTATTACTGCAACCTGGTTATTGCTACAACCTGGTTATTGCTACAACCTGGTTATTGCTACAACCTGGTTATTGCTACAACTGGTTATTGCTGCAACCTGGTTATTGCTACAACCTGGTTATTGTACAACCTGGTTATTGCTGCAACTGGTTATTGCTGCAACCTGGTTATTGCTACAACCTGGTTATTGCTACAACCTGGTTATTGCTACAACCTGGTTATTGCTACAACTGGTTATTGCTGCAACCTGGTTATTGCTACAACCTGGTTATTGCTACAACCTGGTTATTGCTACAACCTGGTTATTGCTGCAACCTGGTTATTGCTACACCTGGTTATTGCTGCAACCTGGTTATTGCTACAACCTGGTTATTGCTACAACCTGGTTATTGCTACAACCTGGTTATTGCTGCAACCTGGTTATTGCTGCAACCTGGTTATTGCTACAACCTGGTTATTGCTACAACCTGGTTATTTCTGCAACCTGGTTATTGCTACAACCTGGTTATTGCTACAACCTGGTTATTGCTACAACCTGGTTATTGCTACAACCCTAGTTATTGCTACAACCTGGTTATTGCTACAACCTGGTTATTGCTACAACTGGTTATTGCTACAACCTGGTTATTGCTACAACCTGGTTATTGCTACAACCTGGTTATTGCTACAACCTGTATATTGCTACAACCTGGCTATTGCTACAACCTGGCTATTGCTACAACCTAGTTATTGCTACAACCTGGTTATTGCTACAACCTGGTTATTGCTACAACCTGGTTATTGCTACAACCTGGTTATTGCTACAACCTGGTTATTGCTACAACCTGGTTATTGCTACAACCTGGTTATTGCTACAACCTAGTTATTGCTACAACCTGGTTATTGCTACAACCTGGTTATTGCTACAACCTGGTTATTGCTACAACCTGGTTATTGCTACAACCTGGTTATTGCTACAACCTGGTTATTGCTACAACCCGGTTATTGCTACAACCTAGTTATTGCTACAACCTGGTTATTGCTACAACCTGGTTATTGCTACAACCTGGTTATTGCTACAACTGGTTATTGCTGCAACCTGGTTATTGCTACAACCTGGTTATTGCTACAACCTGGTTATTGCTACAACCTGGTTATTGCTACAACCTAGTTATTGCTACAACCTGGTTATTGCTACAACCTGGTTATTGCTACAACCTGGTTATTGCTACAACCTGGTTATTGCTACAACCTGGTTATTGCTACAACCTGGTTATTGCTACAACCTGGTTATTGCTACAACCTAGTTATTGCTACAACCTGGTTATTGCTACAACCTGGTTATTGCTACAACCTGGTTATTGCTACAACCTGGTTATGGCTACAACCTAGTTATTGCTACAACCTGGTTATTGCTACAACCTAGTTATTGCTACAACCTGGTTATTGCTACAACCTGGTTATTGCTACAACCTGGTTATTGCTACAACCTGGTTATTGCTACAACTGGTTATTGCTACAACCTGGTTATTGCTACAACCTGGTTATTGCTACAACCTAGTTATTGCTACAACCTGGTTATTGCTACAACCTGGTTATTGCTACAACCTGGTTATTGCTACAACCTGGTTATTGCTGCAACCTGGTTATTGCTACAACCTGGTTATTGCTACAACCTGGTTATTGCTACAACCTGGTTATTGCTACAACCTGGTTATTGCTACAACCTGATTATTGCTACAACCTGGTTATTGCTACAACTGGTTATTGCTACAACCTGGTTATTGCTACAACCTGGTTATTGCTACAACCTGGTTATTGCTACAACCTGGTTATTGCTGCAACCTGGTTATTGCTACAACCTGGTTATTACTGCAACCTGGTTATTGCTACAACCTGGTTATTACTGCAACCTGGTTATTACTGCAACCTGGTTATTGCTACAACCTGGTTATCAGAAAACTTCACCCTTAAAGGCCATGATGCCAGTGAATTCATCTTAATCAAAGGAACTGAAAACCCACCCTTACAGGTTTAGCAGTTTCCATTGATGATAATAATATTATAAATTTGAACAGTACTTAGTAGTACAGATAATTAATTATTACATAAAGTTGGTTAGGTACTTATGTGCATTTAATTTTTTTTCTAATTAAATGCGATGCATTTTGTTGATAACTTTGCAAGGTGAAGTGAGGTGCATTACAGACCGGGATGGGTTGTGGCCACAGGAAGAACTGCTTTGCTTACTTTTGACCGTCGTCGAGGTTGCTGGACAAGCACCGTTTCTGCACTTGTTACCTGTAGGATACAAACACAGAATGTTATTAATGAATAGCCAAGATATCCTTTGTTAAATCATCATGACTCACGAAATCGTAATGACACGATTGCAAACAAACCATACCCCGGCCGGGATTGAACCCGCGGTCAGAGGGCTGGAGTTTGGAGACTCTCTGACCGCGGGTTCAATCCCGGCCGGGGTATGGTTTAAATCATCATCTGTCACTTATATGTTTATATCGTTCGTGTGCATCGGTATGACCTCCATAAGTTGAACTTTATTTTCCTCAGTAAAGATGTGAATGAAAATACCCAAGTTCTTAATACACTGAGGACATCTAGGAGTGACCAAGATCTTGGGACTTTGGTCACTCATAAGTGACCCTTCAGGTATACTGTCGGTATCAATATGAGGTTTATCTTACACAGATGTACAGAGGTTTGTATTAAATTAAAGAAATTTACATTCGTGTCTGACGCAGCAACATCTTGGGATCTTAATATAGGGAATTCTTCACTTGCCTAACCCTCGGCCACGACCTACTTCCACACTGGACAACTGTGACACCACATACGACTGCTGCACCTCTCCTGCCTACAGTATATAAGCTACTTCTTCGCACATATGCTATATTCTTTTCATTTTTGATGGACTGACCACATCGACTCAAGGCTGAGGGACTGATTACCTCAAACTCCTCCTGTTCTTCTCCATTCTCATTTGTATGGACTGATGAAGCCACTCTGTGGCGAAACGTTTCCTCAATAAAGATACCCAAGAGTTGCACATGTGTCTAATTTATCAAGAAATATATCAGTCACAGATCAAAGGATACGAACATCAAGGAAGAGGAACAGGAAGTTAAGATAACTATCCAGTTTTAAACATGATATAGAGAGGAAGGTTGTTAAGAACGGTAAGAAACAGTTAGGTTGTAGCTAAAGAACGAAGAAACAACTTGCGTAACCAAACTAGAAGGAAAACACTACACAATGGAAAGTTGAAGAATCAAAATTTTTCAGTGTAAAGATCACTAAATACAAACATATAAGACAGAGATATATGGACTTTTATTATTATTTAAAAATATGCCACAATCTTCACTATCACTCTGTAACTACCACAATCTTCACTATCACTCTGTAACTGCCACAATCTTCACTATCACTCTGTAACTGCCACAATCTTCACTATCACTCTGTAACTGCCACAATCTTCACTATCACTCTGTAACTGCCACAATCTTCACTATCACTCTGTAACTGCCACAATCTTCACTATCTCTCTGTAACTGCCACAATCTTCACTATCACTCTGTAACTACCACAATCTTCACTATCACTCTGTAACTGCCACAATCTTCACTATCACTCTGTAACTGCCACAATCTTCACTATCACTCTGTAACTGCCACAATCTTCACTATCACTCTGTAACTGCCACAATCTTCACTATCACTCTGTAACTGCCACAATCTTCACTATCACTCTGTAACTACCACAATCTTCACTATACTCTGTAACTGCCACAATCTTCACTATCACTCTGTAACTGCCACAATCTTCACTATCACTCTGTAACTGCCACAATCTTCACTATCACTCTGTAACTGCCACAATCTTCACTATCACTCTGTAACTATCACAATCTTCACTATCACTCTGTAACTGTCACAATCTTCACTATCACTCTGTAACTGCCACAATCTTCACTATCACTGTAACTGCCACAATCTTCACTATCACTCTGTAACTGCCACAATCTTCACTATCACTCTGTAACTGCCACAATCTTCACTATCACTCTGTAACTGCCACAATCTTCACTATCACTCTGTAACTGCCACAATCTTCACTATCACTCTGTAACTGCCACAATCTTCACTATCACTCTGTAACTACCACAAATCTTCACTATCACTCTGTAACTGCCACAATCTTCACTATCACTCTGTAACTACACAATCTTCACTATCACTCTGTAACTGCCACAATCTTCACTATCACTCTGTAACTATCACAATCTTCACTATCACTCTGTAACTGCCACAATCTCACTATCACTCTGTAACTGCCACAATCTTCACTATCACTGTAACTACCACAATCTTCACTATCACTCTGTAACTGCCACAATCTTCACTATCACTCTGTAACTACCACAATCTTCACTATCACTCTGTAACTGCCACAATCTTCATTATCACTCTGTAACTACCACAATCTTCACTATCGCTCTGTAACTACCACAATCTTCACTGTCACTCTGTAACTACCACAATCTTCACTATCACTCTGTAACTACCACAATCTTCACTATCACTCTGCAACTACCACAATCTTCACTATCACTCTGTAACTACCACAATCTTCACTATCACTCTAACTACCACAATCTTCACTATCACTCTGTAACTATCACAATCTTCACTATCACTGTAACTACCACAATCTTCACTATCACTCTGTAACTGCCACAATCTTCACTATCACTCTGTAACTACCACAATCTTCACTATCACTCTGTAACTATCACAATCTTCATTATCACTCTGTAACTATCACAATCTTCACTATCACTCTGTAAATACCACAATCTTCACTATCACTCTGTAACTACCACAATCTTCATTATCACTCTGTAACTATCACAATCTTCACTATCACTCTGTAACTACCACAATCTTCACTATCACTCTGTAACTACCACAATCTTCACTATCACTCTGTAACTGCCACAATCTTCACTATCACTCTGTAACTACCACAATCTTCACTATCACTCTGTAACTACCACAATCTTCACTATCACTCTGTAACTGCCACAATCTTCACTATCACTCTGTAACTGCCACAATCTTCACTATCACTCTGTAACTGCCCACAATCTTCACTATCACTCTGTAACTACCACAATCTTCACTATCACTCTGTAACTATCACAATCTTCACTATCACTCTGTAACTACCACAATCTTCACTATCACTCTGTAACTATCACAATCTTCACTATCACTCTGTAACTGCCACAATCTTCACTATCACTCTGTAACTGCCACAATCTTCACTATCACTCTGTAACTGCACAATCTTCACTATCACTCTGTAACTGCCACATTCTTCACTATCACTCTGTAACTGCCACAATCTTCACTATCACCCTGTAACTGCCACAATCTTCACTATCACTCTGTAACTACCACAATCTTCACTATCACTCTGTAACTATCACAATCTTCACTATCACTCTGTAACTGCCACAATCTTCACTATCACTCTGTAACTACCACAATCTTCACTATCACTCTGTAACTATCACAATCTTCACTATCACTCTGTAACTGCCACAATCTTCACTATCACTGTAACTGCCACGATCTTCACTATCACTCTGTAACTATCACAATCTTCACTATCACTCTGTAACTGCCACCATCTTCACTATCACTCTGTAACTATCACAATCTTCACTATCACTCTGTAACTACCACAATCTTCACTATCACTCTTAACTATCACAATCTTCACTATCACTCTGTAACTGCCACAATATTCACTATCACTCTGTAACTGCCACAATATTCACTATCACTCTGTAACTACCACAATCTTGACTATCACTCTGTAACTGTCACAATCTTCACTATCACTCTGTAACTGCCACAATCTTCACTATCACTCTGTAACTATCACAATCTTCACTATCACTCTGTAACTGCCACAATCTTCACTATCACTCTGTAACTACACAATCTTCACTATCACTCTGTAACTGCCCACAATCTTCACTATCACTCTGTAACTATCACAATCTTCACTATCACTCTGCAACTATCACAATCTTCACTATCACTCTGTAACTGCCACAATCTTCACTATCACTCTGTAACTGCCACAATCTTCACTATCACTCTGTAACTATCACAATATTCACTATCACTCTGTAACTACCACAATCTTCACCATCACTCTGTAACTATCATAATGTTCACTATCACTCTGTAACTGCCACAATCTTCACTATCACTGTAACTGCCACGATCTTCACTATCACTCTGTAACTATCACAATCTTCACTATCACTCTGTAACTGCCACAATCTTCACTATCACTCTGTAACTGTCACAATCTTCACTATCACTCTGTAACTACCACAACTCTTCACATCACTCTGTAACTGCCACAATCTTCACTATCACTCTGTAAATATCACAATCTTCACTATCACTGTAACTGCCATAATCTTCACTATCACTCTGTAACTATCACAATCTTTACTATCACTCTGTAACTACCACAATCTTCACTATCACTATCACAATCTTCACTATCACTCTGTAACTACAACAACGTTCACTATCCCTCAGTAACTACCACAATCTTCACTATCACTCTGTAACTACAACAATCTTAACTATCCCTCAATAACTACAACAATCTTCACTATCCCTCAGTAACTACCACAATCTTCACTATCACTCTGTAACTATAACAATCTTCACTATCCCTCAGTAACTATCACCACCTTCACTATCACTTTTAAAGTGGAAAATATACACAATATGTAATCACTTTAAGACATGTTTAATACAAACATTTTGGTTCTGGGACTCTGGTCACTTCAACTGTACGAAGGGTAAGTAACCATAAGCTTATTTAATCAGGAAAATCCCTGAGTACAAGTGATGTTCAGTGGTTGTTCATCTGGTGGTGGATAGGACGATGTTTGATTAATGATAACCTGTCCCACTGTAGAGGCGATTCTATAACTTACTGCTTCTATGTGCCACTGCTTGTTATAACAATAACAAGAACTATTACAGCTTTAACAACGGTGCTTGTAGAGATGTGGTTATGTAATGATTATTTGTGCTTAGCTTAAATGCATTAAATCCCTGTGGACCACACAAGTTGCTTATTGACCCTGCTGCAAGCATATTCGTGTTCGTTACTCCCAGTGGACAAATTCTTGCCTGTCCGTCCTTTTGTCAACAGGGGATTGTGTAGACACCGGCAGT